CGATGCCGTTCGGGCACTCAGTAAAACGTAGGATCGAGGACCGAATGTGTAGCTTTAGATGTTCCGTATCCCTGCGTTGGTTCGATAACATCGTCTGTTCGAATTCCTGCTTTTTCTCTGCGATGCCGTCGGCAATCCCATGCATTTCCTCCCGCTTGGATCAGATTTCGCGCAGACGAGCCTTGGAACATTCAAAGACGAAGCGGTATTTAGACCAAACGTCCTTTCTCCCTTTCGTCCATTGCACCTTAATAACATTCGACCATCCACCCAGATCCCCATTAGTCTTTAGACGATACGACGGAGCCCCTCGGCACGGGAACGAGGCGAGTGCCGGGAACCGAAAAGGAATCAAAGGAATTCTACGCGACGCGGCGCAGAGACACCTCGCAACTGGAACGCCGCTTCGTAGGATCGAATGGTGGCCAATTTCAGTGATATTCACCCTTCCACTCTGACTTGAGCTGGCAGTGACAGTGGCAACCGCGGAACGTTCCTTTTCGAAACTCAAAAATCACGAGTCGTTTGAGAAGTACGATGGCGGAAGGACGACTCCGTCTCGCTCTTTTATCCATAGAGAATGAACGGGCGAGAAAATTAAATTACTCCCAATTCGTCGATTATCTTTACTTGGGATAAAGCGGCGAAGAGGCCACTACCCTTGGTGAGTACCCTTTTTTTTTTACCTTGCCGGTAATTACGTGACCTGGGGAAGACCCCCTGGATCGTCTCTGCCGGAGTCGGTCAGCATCGCCGGTTCGAGTGTGAGAAAGGCGTCGCATCGCATCGCACGAGACTGTCTGCACAGTCCCACAAACGACCCTGGATCCATTATCGGGGAATCAAACCGGCGAAGCCGGGGGCAGAGGCCTTCACATGGGTCGAATGCCCTCGAACGGCTCGAAATGCCCTCGAATGGCTTGGATGCCCTCGAGCGGCTCGGATGCCCTCAAATGAATTGGATGCCCTCGTGCAGCTTAAAAAACCTTCAACGTGGCGAATCTGAGCCAGTTGAGATCATTCGCCCGACGAGGACGATCCAAGGACAGGCATGAGCGTACCTCGACTCTTGGGGGAATGGGGGGGGGGGGTATAGGTGCTGCACTCGGAATGGTTCGAGAGTCTCGCTCCGTGTTGGGTGGGGTTTGTGGGTGGGAGGGCTCCGTCGTCGTGTCGCAAGTTTCCTGTAAATATTTTAAGGAAATCGGCGCTCGGGATCGATGAGAGACGCTCGAGTCAGACGTTCGCTCGCCGAATTGTTTCCTCGTCGCATTGTTTCACGAGGAACGAGGCTGTGTCGTCCCCCATCCATAAACATCTGAGTTCCGCCTAACGCGGGGGTATGCTACTTCTCAGCACGCCTTTCCCCCGCTGTCATGACAGTGCGCGAGGATGATCGTTATCCCACTCTGGCGAGGAGAAAGGGATCCTTCCACGTCCGCCAGATCGTCAGCGTCGAGCGGGGGGGGGGGGACGAGTCGGCTTCTGGCTGCTGCGGTGTACCTCATTGGCGTGGATGGTGGAGTGAAGTTTTGGGTTTTTGGGGAGGGGTCATGTTATATTTTACGATTTTCTTATAGGGGTCGCTCGAATTTTGGAATCGGTAAGGGAACGCCAGGTTCCATTCTTGCACGATATCGTTTGCTCCCACTCCAGAATAACGAAGACTTTCCAAGTCCGATCTTCATGGACTAGTCAGCTCCTCGCTCCATTTAACGAATCGAACGGATGTCATGAAAGGCTTCAACCGCGAGCGGTAAACCGCTTTTGGACTCTCCAATTTCCTATGCGCTGGTGTCGTCGTCACGACGAGATTGACGAGGAACATTCTAGAGGGGCGGGAGGATCGCTGAGTACTCGGTCTCTACGTGGCATGATTCACCCCTGACTCTGAATCGGCCACTTGAGGGATGACGTCCTCGATTAGACAATGGGGTCGGTCGCTCGGTCGTGCGCCCACGGATTCACCCGCTCCGCTCGTCCGCGCGGACGGTGTGCTTATCGCCATCGACCTGGACTCGGGGTTCCTTGAATCCGGATTCCAGGAATCCGGATTCCTGAAATCCAGATTCTCCGTTCGTGTTCCCCCATAAGCCGGTCCGGCGTGGGACCGCATGTGCCGGCATCATGGCTGCTCACTGTTAGCAACGGGCATACTTTGTGTGGGGTGGGATGAGTTCATTTCATTGCAGACATTTTAAGAGTAATTTCGAACGTAGTTTATCATTAGATCTATATCAGTTAGAGGCCCGGGTGCATCCAAGGCATATCGTGTCGACATACACGTGCCTATCCATTGTAGCATGTGGTTATGCCAGTCGAAGTATAAGGCGCATGTTGGCAGTGAAGGCGACTGTGGCGTCGATCAGGGTATAACACTCGACCCAAGTCTTATACCTGTATAGCCTAGGCCTAATTCCCACCAGGTGCCTTACTCCCTTGGTTGAGCCTGGAAAACTCGGACTAACATTTCAATTTGCACTTTACGAGTACGTTAGTATTATGCTGAAACTGACCTGTCTCAGAGTTCTATTCCAAACCTATTTGATACAAGAGGGATGAAAGATGGCAAGGGATGGATAAACTTAGGATTCTGTGAAAATACCATAGCCTTTACAGTATTTATGCATTAGACCTCCCCAAAATCATGGAGTTGGTGAATATTGGAGTGATGCAAAAAGAGAGCTTAAATAGGGTTGCTGATAGTTTTAGGGAACTTCAGATCAGGTCATGTGGATTTTTAGAGTTTTATTAACCATAGAACAATGTAGTTGGGTGTACTGTTCCCCAAGAGGTGCATGTTTATATGTAGTATCTCACGTTCATATCACATTGTCTCCATAGCTCTTGTTCCTATGTATTTTCAGAATTCTAGTAGCTCGTGATTGATCTTGATCTTATAGGGAAACTTGACTTGTAATATTTTAAAAATATTTTTTGCACTCTATATAAGAAATTGATTGCTTAAAGTTCCATCCCAGCTTAATGGTTTCAGTTTGCATTTAGTTATATTGCACAGTATCACACCACAATACAATCAAAATGTTACCACTCTGGTGATTGTGCCTTTGTTTTTTAATAGTAAGGAAAATGGTGTTATTTGAGAGAAAACCTATAGATCAACAATCATTGTTTTTATTTATCTAATTTACATGACCGCTGACAGTAAAACTCCCCCTTTTCTCTCTACCAGGTGCAGTGCTACATCTATTCTGTTGCATGTTCCACTACCGTCTCAAAAATAGGAAAGGTTTTTATTTAATACAGCATGCTATACAGCAATTTCTTGCTAAAGAATTTCAGTCTAGCAACTGTACATGCTGGGTATGATTTTGCAGTGCTACATGCGATTACAGTATTTGTCCCAGTGGAGTCGTCACAGTTGTTAATTTGGTTTAATTAAAAAAATTATAAAACTTGGGGGAAAGAGAATCTTGGACTGTAGTTGTTTTATGTACACAGTAGGTATGCCTCTCACTTAGCAATCTGTCCTGAGGATATTGCTGTACTCTGTACATATTGGGTATCGAAAAAAAAAAGCACTGCTGTTGGGATGTCAGTATCAGATAATTGGAGAAAACTACAGTTGTATTTGTTTCAACAAGTATGCATAGACTGTTTTTCTCTAATGTAAGCTTTTTCTCAGAATTTTATTTATTCTTGCTTTGCCTCAGAAACATTTTGAAGTTCCAAGTAGAATATTCAGAAATCCCGGCAAGCCTATGGAGACTCTGTAATGTGGATGCACGATAGGTCATTCTTGTGCCTGGACAACAGCAATGAGCTGCAATTTTAATTGAAATATCACTCATTGAATGAAACCAATGTATATTTTCATTCAGAAAACATTCTTCAATGCCTCTGTCTGCCCTAGACAATACATTGATCACAGCTGATGTGATGGACACAGTGCAAAGCAATCAAGTGAACTGGCAACTCTTAAAGAGAGAGAGAGAGACTAACAAAAGGCTTTGGATTTTGAAATTTGTTACTTGCAGTCATCAAATTGCTCCTGTGCCTAAACCAGATGAGGGAAAATCCTGGAAGAAATTCACCATGGAAGACATTACATATATATCCTAGAAAATGATTAATCATATTAATGACGAATTTCTTGATATAAAAATTCAAACAGTGGCTTTTTTTTTCTCTACACCCAGTATTACCCTGGCCTTGTAAATTGCCCAACTTATGACTTCATTCATTCATTCTTCATTTCCTTACCCTCACCAAGAGGATCTGGTTGTCCATATAGTCTGCTTGAGTGTAAAGTGCATGAACATGACAAAATCTCTGTGTTCTTATATAAGTCACTGTGTTGAGTTTCTGCAGGCTATCATTTTTCTATTTGAGGAAGATACTATTGAAAGGCACTTTTACTGAAGTTAGCTTCTGGATGGAAACCATTCAACTGCTGGTTTGTAGAAAAAGTTATACCAGTACTTGTTAATGGGACCTGGGAAGTTGTTGGTGATTATTATAGTTTGAATAGAGAATAATATGATACATTCCCAGATGCCATTCAGCAGAAAATTTAAAAAAGCAGAATAGCCAAGGACAAGTGTTGTATAGACAATGCCATAATATGCAAAGTATGTGAATGAATTATGTGTTTCATGCCACTTTTGGAAAGTGAATGAATGCATGTAATTGATTCAGTAAAACCTTTCTTTTTATTAGGAGTGAGAGACTAGAGACATATGCTCTACACATGTTTGCCCTTTTTTTTTACATTGAATTGACCAATTTTTTTGGTTCTCCTCACATATTTTTGGATTGCCTTCATATTTAATGAGCATAGGGTTAATGTGGTTTGCAGTGGAGGCTAGGGCGAGGCCTCAATAATGTGTTGCAGTAGTTCGACAATAGTAGAGTTGTAGGTGCAGCCTTACAAGAGGTACCATCAACAATGGTGTCTTTTTATTGCAGGTGTTAATTGGGACTCTACTAATACAAGAGTATTTAAGACTCTTTTGACATCATCTGATTCCAAAGAAATCATGACCCATCGGTTGGGTTCGTTGTGTGACGAACATTATCCTCCTCCCAGGAGTATACAACAGTCTGCTCATGTCAAGTCCATGGAGGAGTATCGCCTTTTATATGAGGAATCCATATCTCAGCCAGAGAAGTTCTGGAAGAAATTGGCTGAGAATCTCTATTTCAAGGATCCACCTGGGTCAGGGGAAGACTTCCTCAACTATAACTTTGATGCCAATGCTGGACCAATATCCATTCAGTGGATGAGGACAAGCTCCACAAACATTTGCTACAATGCTCTGGACTACAATGTTGAAAAAGGACTGGGAGACAAGGTTGCTTTTTATTGGTCAGTATTCCTCATCTATAGAGTACTTTTTTCACCAGCACTTATAACTTCAGTATCATTCAGAGGTCAGATTCAGAATAAATCTTCCCCATAAATTCAGATTGAAAGTGGTATTTTTTCAATGCTTTTTCTGCTCACACAGGGAGGGAAACCACCCAAATGATGAGGCAAGTATCACCTACCAAGCACTCCTTGAAGAGGTGTGCAAGTTCTCCAATGTTCTCCTGAAACTTGGTGTGAAGAAGGGTGACAAGGTCGCCATCTGCCTTCCAATGGTGGTGGAACTTGTTATTGCAATGCTGGCTTGTACCAGAATTGGAGCTATTCATTCCATTGTTGTAGGTGGCATTGAATTTCAGAGTTTACTTCATTGTAGATAGGCCTGATAGCTGGAATGGTAATGAACTATATAATCCTGCTCTCTCATGGTGTTTCTAGTTTGGTGGCTTTTCAGCTGGATCTCTTGCAGAAAGGATAACTGATGCCAAATGCACCATTATAATCACAGCTGATGGTGTTTGGAGGGGAAAGAAGCTCATCCATTTGAAAGCAATAGTTGATGATGGTGAGGTTTATAATTTTATTTGAGCAATTACCAAGATATATCCTCCAGTTCAATGAACCTGATGTAGTGGGCTTCTCAAAATATAATGGTACTTGATACATGCCTATATCACTCCTCTTTTCACAGCAATTGAGAGATGTGTGAAAGCTGGTTTTCCTGTGAATCAATGTGTAGTTCTGAAGCACCTTCCAAGGGTCACATCTGCTGTGGATGTGGGCGTTGGTAATGACATCTCTCAGGTTGGTTGGAGAAATATTTGTTCAGAAGTTCATCAATTGATCTGAATGTAAAGATCACATGCACTCTGTGACTGAGAGATAGTAATAATTTCTCTGACCAATTTCTGTTGGAATAAGCATGGGAGCACTGAAGGTGAAGCCAAAACTTCAGTGTAACTGAAGCACTTTGTTGTTATCCAGAATAGATGACATTAACTTCTTTTATTTGGGTTTCAGTTTCTACTCAGACCTTTTCTGCATGTGCCAGTAACTCATTCGCATACCATTTTTTCTTACTAAGAGTTGCTGTGAAATGCCATTTAATTTGCAAAAATATTTCTCATTATGCACTAAACCTAGAAGAGCTTACTAGAACCTAAAAGAAGGCATATCATGCCATCTAATGACCATACCATTGACTAACAAGCCACAAACAAGTCTGGTAGATGGTTAGGTACAGGCTGGACACTTCTACTGAGGCCGTCTTGAAGACAAGTTAGGTACACAAATTCATGTGACCTAATTTTTAATTTCACATACACTTCCTTCATCTGATAAGGTTTCTCCAAATGGAAATGGAATCATGCAAAAGGTTAACCTGTTAGAGTACAAAGCAGGAAATCTGCAAGGTTAGTGGAGTATGGACTATAACTGGTGGTGGAACACCAGGTTATTATACTTTAAAATTTTTTTTGTTAGAGTATAACTGGTAGCTTTGGTGAAAAAATATTGAACAAGGGGCATCATGAAGTAGGGAATATCCAGCAACTAAAAAATCTATTCACGAATTATATGGCATTCCTTTTTGGCTAATTGGTGCTTTAATCAAATCCGCATGATCAATCTCCTTATGTCATGGTATGGCTAATAGAATTCATGATGGGTACAGGTGGGATGGAAACAAGATCGTGACTTGTGGTGGCATGATATCATGAAAGATGCCAGTCCAAAGTGCCCTGTGGAGTGGATAAATGGGGAAGATCCATTGTTCATGCTCTTCACAAGGTAAGCAGAACATGACCAAATCAAGTTATCTTCTAATTGTATTATCTCATATCATGAACTGCTGTACAAATCTTGATTGCTCCTTGATTCTTTCCCTCTTATGGCTCAACCATATATGATCATGCTTCTCTTCCTCTAGTGGCTCCACTGGGAAGCCCAAGGGTGTTATGCATACCCTTGCTGGCTACATGCTGTATTCCTGGGCAACTTTCAAGTACTCCTTTGATTATCAGGAGGATGATGTCTTTTGGTGCACTGCTGACATTGGCTGGATTACAGGGCACACATATGTTACCTATGGACCACTTTTGAATGGAAGCACTTCTGTGTTGGTAAGATGACCTGTGGTTCTTTTCATAGGGCTAGCAATCAAGATGAAATTGTAATTTGCGTAATGGTGGGATTTTAATTAATATATTTATTCAAATTTTCCATCCATAATTTTCTCTAAGTCAGGTCAAGGAGACATTTTTATTTATTGAAATGACATGTGAACAGCATGGATACCTTCATATTTACCAATCACTTCCATTTCACCTTTAGTTGCAGGTTTTATTCAAGGATGTTCTAATGCTTCAACAATCTTTGGTATTGATCACAAGTACCAATTGGCCATCAACCATCAGCAGGATTCCATGTTCAGCTTGAGAATGATAACCCTCCTCCATAAAAAAAAAATAATTTTAAGGAGAAAAGAAACATTACAGCATGAGAGGAACAGGTGCACATCAATGTGGCTTGGTGCCCTATGCTAGTATTACTTTCTCCAAAGGCATATAAAGTAATCTTTTTCTAAGCAGAATTCAGTCTTCTAAGCAGGATTCAGTGACCTGAATTTTCCTGATTTGCATCAGCATCAATCAAATGGGTCCAAAGCAAGCCCTGGCATAGAGGAGGTTGTGAATGCATGCATGCAGGTGGAGTGATGTCACAAGGATGAAAGGGGCCCTAAGTGACACATTCCACTCACTCTTTCCCCAGTAGTCAAGGCAGAAGGGCATTTCCTCTCTCTCCCTCTTCACTGTTCTCATGCACTCAGTCTTCCTTTGTGCTCTGCTTGCCTACCCAGCACCCCATTACTATTCTAATGTAGCCGATGCGTCAAATGTTTTTCAATGTGTAGCCGATTCTTTCTTATCCATTGGTATTTGTGTAAGGCAAGAATTCTGGAGGTGGAATTCTTGGAACACCATAGGAATGGTATCCATCCAGGAGATCATGTCATTGATGCTCTCATTCTGGCATTAGAGAGGAAATACCCCCACTTGCATTCGTTGGCAATTCAGTGGTTCATCTGGACACAGACATTCATGAGGATGAGGTTTCTGAATAAGGAAAATGCTGAAAGGCTATGCAGGGACAGAAAAGATGTAGAGCAAAGAAAATGAAAATGTTGTCTTCTTGATGGTGCTAACACTGGCATGTACAGTAGGTCCAAATTTACAGGCAGGAAAAATTATTCACAGGGTGACAGGGAACTGAAAATCCTCATATCAGCATGTCAACAGTTGCAACAGGCTGAAACTTGCACTACACACAGCTTATAGATCAATATGAAAGAAAATGGCATCAGTAGTACTATAACATTTACTGCATTCTCACTAAATGACAATGGAGACTAATCTTGGACTGCACCTCATAGTTGTAAATTCTTGACTTAGAAGTTATTCCTGGGAAATTCTTTTGGGGTGCCTACAGTCTCTACATCTTGTATTTCTACTTTCCTTTTTTTCAGTTTGAAGGTGTTCCTTATTACCCTGATCCTGGAAGGTTTTGGGCTGTCATTGACAAGTACAAAGTAAGCAAGTTTTACACTTCTCCCACTGCTATTCGTACCTTGATGAAGCATGGGGAGGCAGAAGTGCGAAAGTGAGAAAGAATTCCTCTCTTACCAAGCTCTTAATGCCATCAGCAGTTGAAATGACAGTGGTATTATGTCCATCCCCTGGCAGATATTCAAGATCCAGCCTTAAAATTCTTGCAACAGTTGGTGAGCCCATCAACCCAGAGGCATGGCATTGGTACAACCATGTTGTAGGGGAAGACAGGTGTCCTATTGTGGATACTTTCTGGCAGACAGAGACTGGTGGTCATGTCATCACACCTCTTCCTGGAGCCACTGTCACCAAACCAGGATCTGCTGTCAGTATCTCTCTCTTTCTCTCCCTCTCTCACACCATCTTCATCACTGTTGTGTCTGACCTTATATTTATCTTTTTCACACATGCAGACATTCCCTTTCTTTGGAGTTGTACCAGCCATCCTTGATGATAATGGTGCTGAATTGAGTGGAGAATGTGAAGGCTTTCTTGTGTTCAAGAAGCCCTGGCCAGGAATCATGCGCACAGTGTATGGGGATCATGAACGCTTTGAGCGAACATATTTCCGGAAGTTCCCTGGGTACTACTGTACTGGAGATGGTAGGCTTGCAGGTCCTTCTTTCAGTAGCTATTGAGAATGTATGAAGTCTCATAAAAAATGGTACTGTACATTTTTTCCTTCCCCCCCCTCCCCCCCTCCCTCCTCCAGCTGCAACCCCAGAGGTCAAAGTTCCAGTCCTGTGTTTTGATATGATGAATGTATAGATCTTTGCACTTGCACAATTTTTTCCATCTCTTATTTCTGACAAATGTGGCTGATGTAATGAACTATTAGAAGCAAGTGAACCTTGTTATGAATGCAATTCTTGACCAGTCATAAGGACTCTGAACTATTGATGAAGCTTAATGAGTTTTGCTTAATCTTAATTTTTGGGTATATTTCACCACCAGACCCAGGAAAAGTCATTTTCTCACCCATATAGCATGAAGACATTCTAGAGATATCCCAAACTGGACTACTTATTCTATGGTTTTCCAAAGATATCCTGATGACATCTTAAGTCAATTTATTATTATTATTATTGAAATGGAGTGACAGCATCAATTGATGTGGGTGGGCTTAGTTTTGAAAATACGGGGAATGGGGACAAGGATGGCTCCTCTTGCAAGTCTTTGCAATTTTGTAATTTTCCTTTTCATATTTTTTGTAATTGATGGGAGGGAGCTGTTGCACAGCAATCACTGCATTCCTAGGAAAACCCCCAAGATCCCTTGAAGTTTTTCCAGTACTTCATTTCTTTTTTTTACTTGTGTGTAGGTCCCAAACTTCTGATTAGATCAGGCCTTTCCTTGTTCATATTGCTGTGCCTATTACATAACTTTTTGTTATTTATCCCTCCAATGACTGCCATAGATGTTTAATTTGCAGGCCTAGGCTGGTTATTGTTGCTGGGCTCTTCCTACAAGTGGTTCTGCTGACTGTCATGGAAGTTGCACCTTTTCTTGGTGTCTACTAGGGCAGTGGCATTGGCAATTGCTTGATGTTTTGCATTAAGTCACTCACTCTCTTTAATCATACCAACCTTTTGTTTTATCATTTTGATAGGAGAAAATATAATTGCCTGAAACATACAAATACAACATGAAGTAAGGATCATAACTAGAGAGGTTTCTACTGCATATGGATGGGAAAATCTAACCCCTTGGTGCAGTAAATCTTCACAGTACTCTGTAGCTGAAATTCAGTGTAAAATTTTGAGAGATCTTTGACTGATTCTCAGTAAATTGTACGATTCCATACAGGTGCAAGAAGAGACAAGGATGGATACATTTGGGTGACAGGACGCATTGATGATATGCTGAATGTGTCTGGCCACCTCCTGTCAACAGCAGAGGTAGAATCTGCTTTGGTGGAAGACCCTTGTGTGGCAGAAGCAGCTGCTGTTGCTCATCCTCACCCAATCAAGGGTGAATGTCTCTACTGCTTTGTCACACCTGTTGATGGCATACCTTACACAGATAAACTCGAGAAGGAGCTTCGTGACAAAGGTTTGCCACATCCCTAGCCCCACCTGGGAAATCTGGTGTTGTCTGTGATGCATGCTCTGATTCTCCTTTCTTTCTCTCAGTGAGGGAGAAAATTGGCCCATTTGCTGTTCCTGATTATCTGCAGTATGCACCAAGCTTACCAAAGACAAGATCAGGCAAGATCATGCGTCGCATCCTCCGAAAGATCGCCCAAAGTGATCCTGACCTGGGGGATACCAGCACACTTGCTGATGAGTCCATTGTGGTGCTTTTGCAGAAGAATAGGGTAGCCACAGCTTAGATGCCATCCTCTGTGGCATTTGTAGTACCAGTCATACTGAACTGAAAGGAGGTACTGGTACTGCAAATTCCTAGTGGTGACGTGCATATTGTACTCTTAGTGCCTAGGGCACATTATGCCACAATGCTTTACTTTGTTGGGTTCATAGAATGCATTCCGGGAACCTTTCTTCAACTGCTCCCTGAGCCCATAGTTATTTATAATATGTGGCTTTTCTCTCTTCCTAGGTATACTTCGTGGTTTCTAATCTTGAATTCATTCCCACAAGTTCTTATCCAATGAATAAGTTTCATTTCGTCATGTGAAGATATCATCTCAAATCGAATTGTTCAATGTTTCTAGGCTTGCTGATAGTGCATGGTGTTTAACCATTCTGAGTACATGCTTATTTGGCTCTAGGAAGGGATTTTCCACTTTACATGTCATTCTCAAGAAGGCCTGAGAGCCTAAAAGAATCTTTAGGATTTTCCATTTTTCTATTTATTAATTTTTTTTATAACTAGCCTCATTCTGTAGAATTCAATGAATTAAAATTCCATGTCAGCTTTAAGCTTTCATACTAAGCCACTCCCTTGCACGATGTGTGCATTAGTCAACAGTTAATTTGGGTATGTTTCTATGTCAGCTTGTCAGCTTTAATCATTTTTGTAAATCAATTTTATTCAATCCAGTGTAGCTATGTAGCCCAAGTTTTCCTGCCAAGGATTTGCAGTGCCATTTTGACTTCATTGCAATGGTGTTTGGTATTCTTGTTTTATATGAACTAATGTCATAATGTTCAGTATCATTCCATTGCATGAACCCCAGAAAGGGACCTATGCTGTTTATTCTTGTCCCAGGAAAAGCTGGTGAGGGTATCTAGTCCATTTTGGGGTCATAAATGCAGGACATGTCTGCATGTATCATATTAACATAGGTGTCTGCATGGCAACCAATGAGCTGATCTTAGATCAGGAAACACCTGGAGTCTCTCCTGAGGGCAACCAGATTGCACAAAACTGTGAATCATGACCTCAGTTCATGGCATCATGTTCCTGTATGACATTGTTGAATGATTGGGTGAATCATTGAATGAATGGCCAATCAACCTACAAACACATTGCATTGTATTACATTGTACCTTTTACTTTGCTTTGTTTCTTTGCCCTGAGTGTCCTCAATTTACAGAACTGGAATCTAACTTTAAATTTTTGCATCTTGCTCAATGCACTCCTGAATGCAAAGAAATTTTAATGCACATTGACTTCAAGCTCTGTGTTTAGCTGTGGGTGCTGAAAGCTGTTCTCTTGTTCATAGGACCTCATTCACATCCTCTCCTAATCATTCAACATCTTTGCAGGAAAATTCATGAACAAACTTAAATATGCATTCCCCAACAGTATTCTGCTGCATCAGTTTGAACAGTCTAAATGCCCAATATTTCATAACTTGGCAACTGGTTGCTTGCCCTTAGGACCTGCTCTTTCAGCACTTAGCATATAATGCAGTTGGAAATACCTGCCCTTATAGGGGTTGGGTAGCACTGTGTAAGCACTAATGAATATAGGCTTGGTCTGAATGACCCAGTTAGGAGGGACTTGGTGATAATAGCTCTTTTGACCTTGGCTCATTGATTTTTGGGGTATGTTTGATCCTGTTCATAGTCTTCCCTTATAAGGCCAGTAATTTTAGTTGTATGTGATATTATACCGGTATTTGATTCAAGGCAGCAGACTGATTCTGTCTGGGTATCCTGTTCATCTATTGATGTGATGTGGCACACAAAACAAAACAGTAGAACATTGTATAATATTCTTTTCATGTTTGTGCCTCTGTAGCCCAGAAAGGATTGTCGCTCATCTATTGGCTGTGAAGATGTGACAAAGCTAGCACCATACACAAGTAACCTTTTGCATAATTGTATTGTGTAGTAGCTCAATCTACCTCCATATTTTTGCTGTAGCTCAATATTCCTAGAGAAGCACATGGAGTTGTGTGTTTTTCCTGGAGATTCTGTAATCAGGTAATCCTCAAGCAAGTCAACCTGCACCTGTCACCATCTTGGTGTATCCTGCTATTTCTAAACACCCTTCCCCCACTTAGCACCATCCGGAAATTCTCGTTTGTACCAGGAAACTCACTTTTCCTTGCGATTGGTTAAAAAGCTACTTTGAAAAGGTATTGAGCAGTTGATGCCATTTGTAGGCTTTTTTGTTTCATCTCGAGATGAAGCAGTTGCCGCACTTCTTGTACAGTAGTCTCTTTTCGATGACAAACGCCAAACTTCGCAGTTACCCAAGTTTTGAAATCCATTCACAATGGATTTGCTTCTTGTGTTCCAATCACTGAAGTCATACCTCAATTTTTCTAGTGGCGCTTCACGCGCCATCTGTTACCGTGTCGTCCAACAGTCTGTGACATCGATGAACATATCAAGGAGAGGCTGCTTTCATGGTGTTTTTACGTGTGCTGCATTATAAGTGCCTGCTGCAGCATTGCTTTCTGTACAATATGGATCCATGCATCTCCAGTTCATCTCTTCTTAGGGCCCATTAGATGTGGTGCATGAGCGAATGATGGAGTGTTCTAAGAATTAGTTGAGACCTCATAGTCGTCTTGGATTTAAAATCAGAGCGGGGCAGACCCACCTACTCCCTCTGTTCCTGAAGCCAGTTAAGACTAGGGCCAAGGCAGAGGAAGTCGGTCAAAATGGAATGGAAAGGATTCTCCACGTGCCATTAAGTACTCGAATACCGCTAGGCACCAGTATCTCATTTGGCTTCGTCATTAGCACTTGAACTAATGTTGCGATGAGGTCAAAGCATGCCACGGCAATTGACATTATCTGACAATAATAATTCTTGTCCACGTCAGTTTCCGAATTCAGACTTATTTTTTTTGGAGTAAATATGTTGAATGCTCTCGTCCGAACCTTATTGGTCCAGAGGGCAAAACAAATATAAAAATTGCGTGGCGCACAAAGTTCGACCCATCGTGTTATATTTGGCATTGCTCATTTATATCACCACTTTAAAAATAGCTGTAAAGGTCACGAAACGAGTGCCAAAGAAGGGCGGGGCACAACATTTTCCGCTCGCTTCCAATTCAATTAGTGCAGAAATTGTTTCTGCGTGCAAAAAAAAAAAGAATCAGAAAGTTCGTCCTGGGCTGGCCGCCATGAAAAGGCAATCTTCCGTGCAAAAAGAGAATCAGGTTCCTAATAAGTCTGTTTTTCTGTTCCAATCTTTCAAACCTAGTGCCAGGTATTTTTGGAGGGATGCTGTAATGATGGCTTCCGTTAACTGGGATTCCTGGTTTGCTTTTGTTTTTTTTTTTATATATTCTTTGAGTGAAAAAAAAAACTTGTGCAGAAATGATAGAACCTGTCAGTGTGGCATTGCTGTCCTAATGGGTTTTGCGGGGAACAAAATAACCCGTTGACGAATTTCCCGGTCATTGTCAATTTTATCATTTACCAGTCTTGACTTTGAGGTTTCCGAAACGGAAGGAACACCCAGTTTTTTCACGTTAGGAAGAAGAAAATGGGCCATAGCATCCCCCCGAGGTTCATTCGCGAAAGTCTCGTTTCCTGGGAATCGCGGTCTCAGCTGCTTCTTGGAATACTAGATGTATACTTCTTGTAGTGTACGTGTCCTGTTCCCTTCCCGATCACGACCTTCAGGGGCTGCCGCATCTAGATTGATCTTGATGGTGTTGGACGAGCGAATGAAAACATTGATTTTTCAGTATTTGCATGCATTAGCTAGTCATCTTCCCAAACGCGTCCATATGTTTTTTTATATTAATATTCTGCCCGTGATTTTCGGATTTGATTTCTGGACTTTATTTCCGAATTCGATTTTTTGCTTCTTGTGTTTCGCATCCAAACTATAACCCCCCTCCCCTTCCCTCTAAGGCATTCCTGTGAAACTGGATCGCGCATGCTGCTTGTCCCAATATTGTATCCCTGTGCTGTTCTAGAAGCAATAAATTGGCTCTCGAAGACTTGCCCGTTGTCCTTGATTTGTCCTTTTCACTTCTGCCTGGAAGAATAACGAGGATTCTTTCCGGATCCACGCGGAAAGACACGCCTCGGTGACGAATCGGCTGGAAGGAAATTCCCAGAGGTAACAAAAAGTCCCTTGCACGATCTCACCGATGCAAATGAGTCTGGCAAGGAAGCTAGTCCCATGGCAGCCGAGGTGTTTATTTGCCAACTGATAGGCGCATCCCTGGCACGTAGTCGATGCGGCTTGGCCCGTGCCAACCGCGAAGTGAAGGCGACATCATCCCACGTTCGGATGCTGGGCCTTCGGGAGGTAAACATTCCAGTTAGAGGACATTGGGCTGTGTTTGACTGACCAGTCCTCGTCTGTTTTTGTTAAGAGCCATCGTACATTTTCGATTCTTCCCGGAAGAGACTATTCTCTTGTTTTGTTTTGTTGTTTTTTTTTTTTTCAATGCCCGTTTGGCCTCCATGTCCTTGTGATTTCATGACTGATTCCTTCGAAAAGGAACACATGTTGGAAATACCTTTTTACTCATTTTTTAAATGGTTCTATGTGATGTGAAAATTATTTTTTATCTTGTTCTGACACGAATGTGTACAGAGTTTTTTTTTCATGTTTTTGTTGGCAGCGCTGTAAATGCTGTTTCGCTAAGCATTGAACATATGTACCTGGACGAACTCGGTGGGCCTTGGACCCTGCAAGAACGATGGAATAAAGATTATCATTCGCTAAGCGATCGAAAGTCCACAATGATGCATTAATGACGCCTCGAAGCACGTCTAAGGCAACAAAAAATCGCAAAGACGGCGAGCAGCTCTTGTGCTAGCTTCCATCAAAGTCCTAGGATTCTCGAGGTTTTGAAGCTGTGGCAGATGTGTATCATCGCACGCTTCAGAGTGGAGTCCTGCCAATAACCGACTGAGAAATGCGGTAGGGCATGCTGTCCTCATGCTGTCCTGATTCCTCGTTTAGGGCGTGCCCGCTTCCTCACGTCCTCGCCTCTTTGTAGCAGGAAAAAAAAAAAACACATTGTTTGATGTTTTCAAGTTTCTCGAGGTCGAACGGTTGCCCTCAACCTCTCGAATCACTTTCAAACTCACCTGGATCAGTGCATTAACGTGGAATGTAACCAGCTATGAAGCAACCTCAGGCACCTGAAAAACGACTAAACAGACCCACACAAAGGAGATCGATTACACGCTAAGGCTATCAGGAGGGGGCAGTACCCAAAACAAGACAAGTCAATTCAACCCTTATACCTACGCGGAGTTCCCACTGTCAATGATCAGGCGATTTGTCTAGATGGGCCCAACAATGCCTCAGAGGTTCCCTAGTGTCCAGAAACACCGACCCCTCCATGATACACAACTCCTTTAATCTGTCGTTAACCTCTTAACCGTTGTCTAGCCGGCTCGGGATCGCGCAGGAAGTCCATTCATTTTGAGAAGAGCTAGTTGGCAAACCAGATTGACAGCATCGATTCCACGGACCCATTAAGTCGTAAATTCATTAGATTTCCCTGTCTATTTTTCTTTTCACGCCCGAATGGGGATGATAAACCACTTGTTGAGGACTCATTTAAGACCTGTGAGAAAAATCAGAGTTGCCTAAAGCTGTTTGATCCTGATCTAAGGTGAAGTTGGAGGTAACTATCAGAAAACTTATGAGAACTGCTACAAAGTAGCAAAATAACGACTAACTCACGACTGTCACAATCTCGAGAGTATCCTCCAACACGTACTGACGCTACGAACGCTCGACCAAGACTGTTGGTTTTGACATGTATTTAAGGGGGGGGGGGGGGGGGGGGGGGACAGGGGGGGGGGGGCCTCCCCCCCCCCCCCCCCCCCCAAGAACACGTGCTAATAATGGTATCTCTCTACTTCTCCATCCTCCCCTCTCCCCCGGGGGTGGGGGACGCAGAAAGATATGAGCAAACAACCGGAAAGCAAGGCTGGAAAGGCACAAAGATAGGAGCTGAAAGGTAAAGGTTACACCAGTTACATGTAGCAACTCACTTTAATAAAGTGAAACTGTCAAGGAAATGTCATGCACACGTGACACTATTGAATTTTTCCCTGAAATTGGAAGGATGACAATTCAAATAAAAGGTGTGAATCATAAAAGCTAACGAATTTCCAGTTGCACATCTGTGCAGGGATATTGGGCTGAATCCAGAAATAAATTTAGTTCAAGTTTTTTCAGATATTGAACGTATTTTCATCGTTTAGTGTTCAAATCCCGTTTTCACCATTTCATAACATTTTCTTTGTTTCCTTTTCTTTGTTCATGTGTTCGTGCCGTTTTGCGTTTTGGTTGAGTGTATCTCTCCTGATGACTTGATGACACCTTCTTGCATTCAGAGACATTTGAAAGGCAGGTGATGAGAACTTCAAAACACCTCAAACTTTATGGTTGGTTGTGCGACTGGTAGTGATGTTACAAGGTAGAGCTTCTTGAAGACAAACCAGTATGAAATCAACAGTCATTCCCTCAATAATTTTGAGAGTGAAATGGGAGTAAAGGCTATAACATTTAGTGACATACCTGTTTAGCTAACAGATGTGGCTCAACATGGTAAAAAATTGAGAGCAAAGAATATGATGAGAGTGATTTCCACAATGTTGTACAAACATGTACAATAATTTTATTACTAACTTTACATGTCCTCATGAATGAAGTACAAAATAATATAAAAAGGTAACACATCAGAAGCGTAATCAAACAATGATCCTCACATGCCACTAACACATCTCCAACAGTTCTCAATTCCTTGAGGATCCCAAGCTGCACCTATGGGTCTGAATCCATCTGGGGAGGAGCAGTTTCCTGGGCTGGACCAAGGGGCACCTGGACAAGAAAAACATAAAAGTGATAAAATGACATCAGGTTCAAGAACCAGACCCACATGTTTGGCTCCTCAGATAACTGCTTGGTTTTACAGGTAAATAACAAGAAAAACTTCTGAACTAATTAGGATGAACTAATAGAGCTGAATAGATACCCCCTAACCAATAAAAGAAGCAGTTGGAACAATTTTTTCTGAGGGACAATCAAGAAACACATTAATGTGCTAACATGCTAACATCACAACAGCAAGGGCCAACGCATTTAGTAGTTGTAGACTTAAATATGACCACTTTATTCTGCACTCCGATGTTGCATGGGTTCCATGGAAGGAGTATGTCCTAAAATACAAGGTGTATGGTGAGAAACATATTGTTAAAAATTAAGCTACCAACAATAGAAACTGGCCAAGACTGCACAACGTTGGGCCAATATAGGTCACACTATAATGGAATCAACATTAAGGCAATGCATTTTTGCCAGCATAGCCATCTTGAACATGCCTACTCGTAAAAGTGTGTGAAGGTAACAAAATGTGCTTTGTATATAAAACATCATGACAGTATTAATGGCAGTTATGATGACATGGGCTGAAACACTACAGAAGAAATTCAGGAGCCCAGTATGTTAAAGATGGCACAGAGTTGGATTAAACTGATTACTTCAAATGGTTATGTTGTGAAATGATCCACATGTTAACCTTTCAGTATGCAGATTTAGTGATATGAGTGACAAACTGGAATTATTACAGGGTCCTTTTGAACCTTGACCTAGAATGGTATCTAAAATTGCAGACACCAACCTTGGATATATTTTAGTAAGTTGAACTAGAGAGGGATTACTTACTGGCTCCTCCAAAGCAACGGCAGCCAACAGCTGACTTAGTCTTCCACCTCCATCCTGGCAATCATCAACATTGGGAGTGGAATCTAGTTTCTCATCAGCTTGTTCCCTGTCCCATTCATCCCAATAACCTGGAGGTGGACAGATACAGATATACCTTAGGTGATGATGAAGATATGGACAAGCTCAAATGATCTGCAACCAACTAATGAAAGTCGATAGCAAAATCAAAGTATTGTCACCCATACAATCTAGGACTTAAGAAATGATGATTGTTGTGAAGGTGGAAAATGAGAAAAACAGGCTTCACTTCTCATTGACTTAAATTGAATTTTCCAAAGTCATAGACTGGGTGAGGGGGGCTGTCCAAAAGTTTGACTCTTGGGCCATTTGCAATACACACCATTGGTAGCCAGCATACGGTTAATAAAACAAAAAGACAGGAAATGAGACAGAGGAACCATTTTACAATAATTCCCACTTAAAGATATTTGCAGAGTCAATAGGAATAGGCTTTATAAGGGGCTTCTGAGATGATTGATGCATGAAGTAGGGGCATGCTTTGACTGATGGGTGGTTTTCAAAAATCTCTTAGCATTTACATTATTCTCTACAGGGAAATCTGGTGACGGGGGGCGCCATGTTGTACAATGGCCAAAAATGCCTGTTTTCATTTTTCCAGTTGTACCAAAAACTTAAAGTTTTAAAAGTTAAGGTTCCAAGTTCTATGTCACTGAAAATTGTAAAATACGTTATTGCTTTTAAAAATGCCATATTTCCATTCCCAACAGAAACATGACTTTGAATTCTTAAACAGCAACAAATGAAAAGTTCAATATTTCATGAATGGTTAATTCCCGACAAAACACTTAGATGTGGGTATTCCCAACCCCAATGTGACAACACTGTCCTCCCATTCCCTTTGGGGAAACCATCCCCATTTCCTCCCATGACCATTGGAAAATTCTGATCAGTTGTTCAAATAGATAACATATTTACTGGGGAAACCACATCTCTTTTCCACAACAAATGGTCAAAGCATGTAACTATATGGACATATCATAGCATTCTAATAAAAACATAAATATTCATGAACTTTTATGCATTTTTAAATGGCAGAAATCACTTCTTTTACTAATGAGACATGAACTCATATGGGTTGCACACTACTATGAGGCTGCAGGAAAAATATGCTTTTGCATAAAAATCCACTCCCTAATCATGGCATGCTCATAAACAAGCAACAGAAACGGTGCTCCTTTCACTGCATTCAGAATCCATCAGATACTAGAGTCTGAATTCTGAATTCCAGTCTGAACCATATAAAACGTCATTGTGCTTCTAATTATAATTGCAGGACTCTTGATAGCACAGTCTCATATGAAAGTCAGTGTTAATCTCTTCCTGACTCCTACTGCAAAGCCTTGATCTTGAATGGTTATGAAAAAATTTACATTGCTGTTGTAATGAGCTCACACCCTTTAAATGTAAACCACTGTGTTCCAAGTGCATACCAACACCAATGGAACAATTATTTCCTGGTCTTTGGTCATACATCTGATACTGAAAGGTACTTGGTATGTGTTTCAAGATTCAAAGCACCAGTAATGCCAGTCCTCAAATGGGAGCATAAAAACTCATCATGAAAGCACTACACTGAGTGGTTTCAATTTACCCTACATGAATGTCTTACTCCACCTGCCCCCCTACCCTCCAATTACTTTTAACACAATGACTGCCATGTCATCCACATACGGCTGACAAAGCCAAAGTGTGTTGCAAACCCTGGTAGTCAATGTGTTGAGACAAGCTTAAATTGGACTTACCTTTTGGAAAAGTGCAGATATAAAGTCCCTTAGGCCAGACTCCTCCTGGTGGACGGAATTCTTCATCTACAAGGGGAATTTTCACCATGGATTTACTTCCTTGATTATAATATAGGAGCCCAGTGCAGTCACCAAATTGTGACATCAGGGTCTCCAAGGCAAGGTTTCCATTTTCCAATAAAGGAATATCAATTATAAGTCTAGTGGGATATTCCACCACTGGAATGTATTCACCAGACATTTTCCCGTTCGTTGACTGTTGACTTTGTTGGTGGATCAATAAAAACTGAAAACTGCACAACAATGGGAACACATTTAGAATTGGTGAACACCCCCAGAATTTTCTTGGATCATCTGAAATAACTAAATAACTCCAGAGAAGAAGCAAAAAACACAGACCAAGTGAGCCTCTGTTGGGCTGAAAGAGTGCGAAAGTCAACCTACTTTTGAGAGAGATGGGTCAGTTCAGTTAGAAAATAGCTGTGCAGGAAGGCTGTAACACTTGTCAAACCCCAACTTACCCATCGTTCCCCAAAATAAGTTGACTTTCTCACTCTTTGGCCTTTGATATCGTACTAGTGGGAGAGTCAATGGGATCCATCAACCATGCCATTGCAACAGGTCACAGGTTCCATAAGTTTTGCTTGCCATAGCAATATTATTTGAAATTGCAAACCCAAGAAGAGGCCTAAGATTAACAACCTAAATGTGCACTTGAGTCTCATGCTCTGCACTCAATCTATATTAGAATGTATCTGAATGGGCCTGTCATAGAACCATTCATCCTGCTAGATGAGTAATGTTAAATTTCTCCAGTAAAGGATAAGTTTTATAATAATCTCTCCAGTCCCAGAAAAGACCACTTTTAATCCACAATGACCAGCAAAAGTCTCATTTGTCATACTTGTGCATTCTTCCCCTCCCTCCTGCTTCTCAAAAAACAGGTTTGTGACAAAAGATAGACAGGGATCTAGCTTTCACAGGCTCAAGAAATGACACTCCATTAAGGGCTCATGCTGCTTGATCTCCTTTCTGGGAGATTTTTCATTTTTCAAAATTTTTCAAGCTTTTAGCGTCGTGACTCAATAGAGACCTTCAAGACCAATGTTGAAGGTAAATGGAATACACAATACCTACATTCCCATATCTTCTTAGAGCATTCACACACAAAAACTACACCATCAGAAAAATCCATGCTTCTATTCCAAATGTATGCCAAAAACACAGCTTTCTCTGTAGATATTACATAACCCCAAGTCCTTCATATCATTGATACACAATACTGTGCTCAGAACCAGGAGTGGCATATATGGAACCATTACACTTCAGACAGGAGTATAATGAAACCATGTATATATGTTGTGAAAAACCTCTGTTCCTGGCAGTTGATATTTACAAAAAGTAAAATGCACTTTCTTTTTCTTCAAGTATGGTCATGGTAGAGGTGGAAACAGAATTTGAACTAAACGATGAAAATACGTTCAATATCTGAAAAAACTTGAACTAAATTTATTTCTGGATTCAGCCCAATATCCCTGCACAGATGTGCAACTGGAAATTCGTTAGCTTTTATGATTCACACCTTTTA